TCTGCGTATCGACTGTAACAAAATGTATTATCTTAAGAATTGTTTGACGAGTAATTTGCGACACAACGGTAACATCGTTCAACACGGGGTGTGTCGAAATTGTAATAAATTACGTTCCTTTATCGTAGATCCATGCATCGGGTGTCCGAAAACGTTACCTCTCGAGTAACGTCATTGACAAAGATGAATCGCGTGCGAACATCCAATGAACTTGTTTCGCGAAAAGTACTAGATAGATAAGGAACTAGGGACGAGGAAAAAGATAAACGTAAACGACAAAAGGGAAATAAGTAATAGATATTTTGAAAGGGAATTTTTCAAATATAAAATTTACGAATCAGGTATTTCTACAGATATATATATTATTGAAAAAAATCATCAAATGTTAGTAAATCAACGATTCTAGAAAGAGGTGTATAAAAGTTTGAAAAGACGAGAGGATATGTTACCTATTATTTGAGATGTACATAGTGTTTCCGTTAATTGGCTGCGATAAAACATCTTTCAAGGGATTATAGTTGTTAAAGAGGTGCTTTCACAAGATTTGTTTAGTGAATCTTGTTTTTTTCCAGGCCGAGTAGGAGATTAACTTCTTAAATAGAACTATATCACCTGGAATACACCGGTTGATTTACTAGAGCGTTACCTATAAAAGAAAGATACGAACTATCTGTATGGGAAATCCTCTTGTTTGAGTGACACTTTAATTTAATCAGTGCGATACCGCGAAGGCGGGGAAGGTAAAAGTCGCACGTGATTGGTTCGGTAATCTTCGCCGATAGTCACATGGAAACTGCGATCCCCTAAATTCCGCCATATTTCGCATTCGGATTTGAATATCTCGCGAGTACTTGGAATTGTTAGAAATATATTGTTCTGTAGAGTATTGTGTAACATATCGCAATTTAACAATTCTTTTTAAATAGAATATACTTTTCGTTTATATGGTAACATTTAGCGAGAGAAATGTTCTGAATTAGATTAGATCATAATTATGATTAATTATGAGGATATAATTAATTATACTCTACTTTGCAGCTCCAATCTTACTCTTTTGAGTTCTAATAATACGAAATGGCAATATTTGATAAAAATATCTCCCAAACTAACGATTCCTTGATATAAATGAATTAATACTGTCTAATGGAGAATTCTCAGTTGAACCGTTTGGTGGATTCAAAATTATTATTATCGTATCATAATACGATTATAGTTTCATTAGAAGAATCGAGATTAACACGTTGAATGCCGTGGGGGTCACCGGTGACCCCCAATCGAATCGGATTACTATAATTCACTGAGTTAAACTGTGATTATTCGAAAAGATTTCTATATTACAAATAATCCTGCCTAACGCGGTGACATTCAGCTAGAACATGCAATAATAATAATGCAATTCAATCAAATGATTTAATATTACATCTTTTCGATTTGGCTATTTTGCTCTATGAAATCGTGCGGCATTCAACGTGTTAAACAGTTGGGAAAAGCTGAAGCACCCAGTTTTTTAAAAAACCCACCCTGTACACTTGTTTCGGGTGCTTATCAGGCATTACACGCAATTTCATTGAATACGTATTTTCAGCACTCGTTCGATGAATGGCGCCGCGATTACTGTAATAAACGCATAAATTACTTTGAACCTTATAATTCTTCGAGGTGTTCCGCGAGCTTGTTGCAAAAGTTCCGCAGAATCATGCTCTTTAACTCATTGCGAACGAACGTCGACATTTCGGCGAAATGAAATGTTCGTATTTGGAAGATCGGGTGATGGATAAATGATTTAGTTACTCCTTCTCATATTAATTAAGCAATTGCTAGGTAATTCAGCATCATCTGCTGAAGCTTTTGTGTACCTCAAAGAATGCTCGTCCTCAAAGGGTTAACTCATTGCTTTACAACAACAGGTTGTTGCACACTGCCTTGGATAAAATGTCTGATACGAAGTGTTAGTTATTTTGTTTATTTATTTCGTATTAACCCCTTGATTTTCAATAGACTTTAACACCAGAACTACCGAGCATTTAATACGATTAATATGTAATCCCTATAAACAATAGATTATTTTCAGTTTCTTCAGACATTCATTATAGTACTCAAATGAAACTATTTATTTTCAAAATCACTTCGAATATTCAATGCTTCGAAGATATCGATAATTGCTAAACAGAAAAGTCGAAACCAGTTATTATCAATTTCTTCAGACATTCATTATAGTATTCAAGTGAAACCACTTACTTTGAAGATAATTTCGAATATTCAATGCTTTTAAGATATCAATAATTACGAAATAAAAAGATCAAAACCAGTCATTTTGACTGGTACGGTAGATCTAGTGTTAACGAATATAAATATCATACAGTTCTCGTGAATTCCAATGAAATATTATTTTTCTCTTATAAATTATTATATTGTATAGCAAATTTCGACGTAGGATATACATAGAATTTTTCTCTGTTTCCAATAAATTATTAACAAAGTTGTTATCATTCAGTTCTCGTGAATTCCAATGAAATATTACTTTTCTCTTATAAATTATTATATTGTAGAGAAAATTTCGACGTAGAATATACATAGAATTCTTCTCTGTTTCCAATAAATTATTAACGACAAAGTTGTTATGTTGATCACAGTTGAGAAATAAATAGGGCAAGGGGTTAACACGTTGAATGCCTATTTCAAAATCAACCGAAGAAGCTGCATATTGTTAGAATACAAAAAATGGCTCACCGCTTTGAATAAGATAATTAATTATCGATCAAGCTGCGACGAAAATTCTACTTTCAGCGGTAAACTCGAGTAATTAGCTGATAAGGATGAAAGAACAAACAGTAATCTACAACAATAGTTCGATAGTGCTGCATTTACGCGCGGCAGATACCTTTCTAAGAAGTGTTTCAATGAATTTCAAGCGTGACGTCAAATTGTTAGGAAGATAACCAGCACACGCTCAACGTTCTACACGTACACGGACCAGGAAACCTGAATTCGTGCCCGATATTCTGAAGAAACATTGAGCGCATGCTTGACACGTGGTACGTTCGCGTATCACGTGAACGATAACATTCTTGTTAGGCTGTCAACGTACACTTGGCAGATATGCATAAGATTGCTTTGCGGAAAGCGGGTTGTTGATAGGACGAATAATCCGCAGGCCAATTATCCGTCATTACCCATTGAAATTATACAATCCGTTTCCCTTTAAAACGCCAGCGGAAAGCGTCATCGCTTAGACCACGGTTTTCGTCGTTCACGGGTGAACAAAGCGATCGTTCGTTTCAATGGGAATGTTATGTTAACCCTTTGCACTCCGTAGGATCTATTACGGCACCGCTTATGTCATTAACTCTTTGCACTCGAGAGGTGACTCTCAGACACCACTTGATTTCCTACAGTGAAGCTATAAAGTTTGATATTCAATATTATACTTCATACAGTGCATCAGTCTGAGAAATACTGACGTAAAACAGCTTTGTCCGTCGATTCACGTGAATTTCTCGTCGAGTTGGTTTTACGAAATATCGTCTTCATCTCATCGGAAAATGTTGAAATATTTCTAGTGAAAAACTTCGGAGTGCGAAGGGTTAACTCTTTGCACTCGGCAGTTTTTCGTTAGAAATATTCGACACTTTCCTATGAGACGTAGACGACATTACTTGAAACGAACTAATGGGAAAGCATACGTAAATTAAGAAACAAAGTTATTTTATATAAATATTTCATATATCTATGCATTATCCGAAACTTAATATTATATATAACACTTTGTAATTTTGTTGTATTGAATCAAATGGTAACTGAAAGTCACCCCTTGAGTGCAAAGGGTTAACTCTTTGAACTCGAGGACTCCGGAGCAGAGCCATTTAAAGTTTATCAGAAATGAATAGTTTACAGTTCACAAAGCTTTTTCTGAAACATAATTTTACTGTTAAAAGGAAACGTAGTATTACTTTAAATTAAAAATTATTTCTTAAAACTAAACTTTTCATAAACCAAGGGAACAGTTTAATGAACGGAATAATAAAAGTCCAAGGATATTTTCGAAATTCCAACGTAGGAATTATATAAACATTTGTCTATAATAATTACTTCGTGAAAACGAGTTTCCATGTTGATAAACATAAATCTTCCGCAGCGATATGCTCACGATTAACACATTTAAAAACAAAGGTTTATGTAGAGGCTGAAATTTGTGAAATAGGCCGAAATTTGTAATTTTAATTAACCGCAACCCCTTCGCTATTAAGTATACAAAGTGTTCTTAACTCTAAAAATTCAAGCTTATTTATCTACGTCTAGCTTCATTATCTCCGTAGTTAATAAAACGCGAAGTAGCAAATGGAAAGTCTTAAACATAAAAGAATAGAACGATAACATAAATTTCTGTGATTTACCATTCAAACTGATCGAGGCGTACTTATTATGTGCATGTTACAAGTATGAATATGTCGCAGGAACTTGAATTGAAAAGAACTACTGAAAGGAAGCACGGTTGGAACTTATACGTCAGATTTCTGTTATATAACGGTACCGGTTAATGTCTTTTTCAAATTACTTCGCCTTAATGACGGATATAATTTGCTAGAAAAGCTTGGACAACACCTCTTTTTACTCAACCAGTTAACTGTAGAGTTTAGATGGAAAAACATTTCGCTCTGCGCGCAATAAAATCGAAAAATGGAGCGTGTACTCGTCAAATGCAGGACGAATGTATTTTAATGAAAGATCAAAGCGAAACAAAGAATTACATGTTTATGTGAAAAAATAAAGAATTCAAGCTTTACGATGACGTGTATACTCGTCGAACACTCGCAATTTTCACTGAGGTCAACTCATATCACTATACATAGAAAAACTCAGATATATTGTTGTGTAATATGTTTTAAACAGACAATCAATTCGAATGAAATTCCATATTTTTTCCAATGCTGCGGTAATTAGCGAAGTCGCACAGCAAAGTGTCTTTATATAAAAACTAAATTTCTCGTCAGCAGTACGCAACGTGTTCGAAGATTTCGAAAAGTCGAGTGCGTTTAGAAGCGATTAGCGTAACTGATCGTAAAACGGCTTACTCTGAGCGTAGCCCCTAAGTCAGCGGCGGTTTCGCAGGGTTTCGTGTAGCCAAACAATCTCTACCGGAGCTGCTTCCAGAATTCATTTTATAAGATCCGCGATCTTTTGATTGCAAAGCTCGGCAGATCGTTAACTTTGATAAAGGCGGCGATTTCATGCGAAGGTTACCGATTAAATTAAACACGAGCGATGCACGAACGCGTGGAGACACATCGAAGACACTTTATCTGATCGCAATCGTCGGCTGCAGGAGTGGATGCAGGAGCGTTGTGCAGCTACCTGCGAAGTTGGAACAAGTGTCGCCTACGTTATTGTATGGCATTCCTTTCGTTCGGCAGACAAACGTCGGCCGGCGAATAATTAACGACTGACGAGTCTACGTTCAAAGTAATAAAGGCTTTTCTAATAATTCCGCGAAGCGCAGTGGCGAACGCGCGGCACACCGTTCGGCGTGACAGGTGAGTGAAAGTTTCATGAAAAAAGAATTCGCTCGTTCACTGCAGCCTGATAAACACCTATTCCAGTGAATTATTGTTCATCGAGGAAAGAATTCGGATGAAGTTCATTGTCGGAGATAATGATAACGCGAATGACTCTTGGAGGACTGAGGAATTGGCGGATGTGTTTTAATCATAGAACTACCGAGCAGTTAGATTGAAGTTTTCAAATTTCTCTATGGGGAGAAAAACTGAGACTATAGCTATTGAGATTTCAATTGATTTATGATTCAATTTATTACTGAGCCAATTTCTTCAGTAATTTCGCAAAGCATCTGCTATCTTTTCAATACTTACACAAGAAACACTTACAATACAAAATTTCCTAACGAACACGCCCAAATGACCCATTCGCGAATGACTCTTTTACCAGTTTTTCTTGGTAAACGTGCAGAGGTTTTCTTTTGTTAACTTTCAAGAGAAGATTGTTTATTGCTTGTTAGGTGAAATGTAACGACGTTGGATTGAGCTTCTGTTCGATGTAGCAATCGAGATTTTGTTTGGTTTTGTTGCTCGGTGTTTGCTCTTGGGAATATATTAGATTGATATGATTATTGTTATTATTTATATGATATTAATTGTTTAGCTACGAAATTTTTAGTTTCTTTAGGTATAGATATTTTGTAATTACACTTTGTAGAGCCAAATATTGAACATGCATATAAATTAATTGATTTATTAAATTAGGAAATATTTTATAATTATTGTAGCTTCTTCAAAATAGAATGATTTTTCTTATGATTTATATAAAATTTAATTCTACTTCCGCAAGAACTATGTACTAAAGATTATAGTCATTTCATAACAATTTTTCTGAGTCAGAAATGTATACTGACTTCAATGATTTCTCTTAGATTGCAAATAGCATCAGATCTTCTTTAGAAATCTATGTCAATAATCAAATAATCCGAAATCATTCGTTCCTTATCAATAATCCTTCATGAAGAGTTGCAAAATTGACAAAGACAATTCTATCACCAAAGCTTGAGAGCTATTAATAACACAGCGCACGATCTCTAAGTTTGTAAGACATTTTTCACTGCATCAATTATCTCGAGACAAGCTTCAATTCTTTCGTACGTTCGAAAGAAGAATTCAAAATAGACAGCGTCAATTAAATCTGAATCGAATTTAACTTTCAGTTTCCAGGAGCTGCGCAAAACGCACAAGGAAAATCGTATAGAGTCTAAAAACCACCTAATTAAAAATGCAAACGAGCATATTGTACGTATTGTGCGCTGCCGTAATCTCAGTCCAGGCGGCTCCAGAATTGCAATTTTTACAAATCGTAAGGAACCATCAAGTATTAGACATAATTGATTATCACTAGAACTACCGAGCATTTAATACGATTAACATGCAGTTCCCATAAAAATTGTAACGATAGACATTCAGATATTCTTTATAGTACTCAAATGAAGCTATTTTAAAAATCATTCCGAATATTCAATGCTTCGAAGATATCAGTAATTGCTAAGCAAAAGAGTCGAAACCAGTCGTTTTAACTGGTACGGTAGTTCTAGTGTTAAATATCGGCAACTGTTGATTGAAATTTCTCGATTAGTTTTACGTTTATCAAAGTAATTCAGCAATTTTATGGGGAAAATGTATAAATTTACAGATATTCGCACATAAACCGTACGCTCCGATTTCGGCGGTGGTAGACAACGAGAACGTAAGTTTCCCAGCCAACTTAACGTACGAACACTTCGACTTTGCTCCGTTCAACATGCCCAACGTAAGTTGACAACTGTTTCTTTCGATTTATTTGTTAACCAGTTAACTGTGGAATTTAATTGGAAAAACCTCTCGTTCTGCGAGCAATAAAATAAAAAAAATGGAGCGTGTACTCGTCGAACGCAGGACGAATGCACGTAGAGTGTATTTTAATGAAAGATCAAAGCGAAACAAAGAATTACATGTTTATGTGAAAAAATAAAGAATTCATTGTTGAAAGAATTAGTATCATTTCAAGCTTTACGATGACGTGTACTCGTCGAACACAGTTAACTGATTGAACGTTGAACGCGCACAATTTCATAGAAGAAAATACCAAAAATGGAAGAGATGTAACATCAAATCATTTGATTGAATTGAATCATTGTTACCGCACGTTCATCTAGCTGAATGTCACCGCATTAGGTGGCATTATTTATAATGTAGAAATATTTTCAAATAATCATTGTTTAATTTAGTGAACTATGGTAATTCGGTTTAATTAAGGATCATCGGTGACCCCCACAGCTTTGAACGTGTTAAGGTTACTTAGCCTCATTAACAGTAGAATTATTGAGTAACGACCAGTTAAATTGCCTTTTTGAAAATCCTGTATAGCAGTTTTATTGGAACTTTAATTGATTTACAATTCAGTTTGCAATTGCTGAATCAATTTCTTTAACAATATGTCACAGAAACTATTACCTTTCTAATAATTGCAAGAACTCAGGAAAGTGCCATTTTGATTTGTCTAGTAGCTCTAGCGTCAAAGTCATTTAATATTTTCAAGATATCCATAATTACAAAGTAAGAAACCTGGTACCTATCATTTTGATTGGCTTTCATATAAACGCATTATTAATAAATTCGGTAACTCTAAATCGTGATTACCATTTTATTTATCGGCAAATCTAAATGCTTAATCCCTTAAAAAATTAATGTCACAATAGGATTAAACAGCACTATGTGCAGAAAGAAGTATTTCAAAGCAATGACTTTGACGAGATGCTTCAAGGTTATTGGGGTTCGTCAAGAATTATCATATACTTAATGATTTGTTTGGCAGATAATATTATTTGCCTCTCTTAGTAAATGAAACACAAATTGGCACTTGAGATTCGAAATACCTGCTCGAAGTTAATCCACTTAATTGAAGAGAAACGATAAAAAGGCCATTTTTGTGATGAAAGTTGTAATTACTCAAATTTTCGGGAGATTCATCATCGCATTACTCTGCGAAAAGGGAGTTAACACGTTGACATCCAGATGACTTGAAAACAATTACACCTCGTAAGATAATCAACATCGAATTAAAACGTTCAACAACATACATAAATATTTAATAATGTAACTTAAGAATTCTAGTACCAAATAATTGATAATCATGTCTTTTGATCTTCAAAAGAAAAAGTGACACAAAACGCTGAAGCTTTTCGTGGCAGTTAACGTGTTAAAGGACAACGCATCTCTTCGTCGAGTGCTCCGATAATTTACAAGCAGCATAAAAATCCTATTAAACTTTTATTCAGATACGCACTATCTACTGAACTTGAAACCCGATCTATCTTCAGTCTCGTTGAAACATTAATAGAAACAATGAGCTTCGCGTTGAATTCTTTTCAATATCGATCTGGACCTCGTTCTAATCTGGTTCATGGTATAATGCGTAGCACTTCGTGACTATTTATGAAACGATTACGTTGTTTATTGTAATAGCATATAGCAATTGAATAAAAGAACGAGGAATCCATTGTTCCCTGTCGCTTTGTTCGAAAACGAACTCCTTTGACGTTTGAGACTGAATTCTGCGAAGAATAAAAGCTTGAGAAACACCTAATCTATTATTCCTTGAATGTAAAATGTGGTTTCAATTTAGAAACATGTCTTCGGTTATTAGAGGAACTTCCAGTTACTGTTTCGAGGCAGAAACGAGTTCAAACTGTAAAAATATTTGAAAACACAATTACGCGTCACGAGGAATTAATCACGTATAAGTATAATTGAAACGAGAGAAACCCGAAGGATGCAATGAAAAACCAGCAGACTGTAAATCAGACAATAACCTGCGCTAAGTGACAATTAAAAAATTACACTTGCAGCTTATCAACGAAATGTATCGATACCATGTATCTACGATTTATGTATCAGAAATCTCAAATTTGACGATATCAATGTAATACGTAATTCTTTGCCTGAATTAATCAAATTAATTCAAACCTGTATATGACTATATAACTATATAACTATATGACTATATGACTATATGACTATATAACTATATAACTATATAACTATACAACTATACAACTATACAACTATACAACTATACAACTATACGACTATACGACTATACGACTATACGACTATACGACTATACGACTATACGACTATACGACTATACAACTATACAACTATACAACTATACGACTATACAACTATACAATTATATAACTATTCTTGTGTTATATGTAATGCCAACACCGTTGGAATTCATATACCGCATAAAATAAATCGCACAAAAAATATCACTTAGAAAAGGTCTGCACAAAAACAGGTTTGACTGTATACTATATGGAGACCAATTGATTGTCGGAAATAGGAACATGAATAATATGCATTATAACGCTTGAAAAGCAAAATAATCGATAAATTTTATTACGAACAGGAAGGCAAACTCAACATGTATAATCTAGGAGTGCATTTACGCGACGTGTACGATGGATTTCTGGGTGAGAACTTCACGAGTAGAGTAATGAAAGTGCGAACTGCGGAATATCCGTTGTCAATAATGTCTGCGCAATTGGTGAACGCAGGCCTCTGGCCACCATCCGAAAGAGATAGATGGAACGATGATTTAAACTGGCAACCAATCCCCTCAGGTAAATAAAGACGGTGTACACAAATTTTCATCGGATAATTAACACGTGGAACGCGACACGATTTCATAGAGCAAAACACACAAACTGGAAAAAATATAATATCAAATCATCGAATTGCATTGTTATTATTATATATATATATATAAATTTTATTTGAAAAATAATCAAATGTTAAGTTAGTTATCTCTTGGTAGTAAACTCTTTGATTTCTTACTAATTAACACGTTGACTGCCATGGTAGTCACCGATGACCAGAGTTTACAAATTACTTGAAAGCAACTACATTTAACTTAACTAAATCATTAATAATTAGTTTTAATACCATTTACCTTTGTTATGGAGGAATAAGTATCACTATACAAAATGCTCGAAATTCTCGTGGCAGTCAACGTGTTAACATTCGATGCTTTCTGCGAATAAAATATACATGTAGTACTTGATTTGCAAAATGATGAATTTGGAGTGCAAAATCTATACCAGTCGGATACAAAAATGATCTAATATCGAGACAATCAGTTTTTATAAGTAACTTCGTAAAGGAATCTTCGATGTAATGCAGATTCTATGATCCATGTAATACGACAGCTAACTAATTAAAAGTGAATTGAATCTCTATGATACTTGCAGATTACGTAACCGCCGAAGAAGACACTTTGCTGTTGGGGCAGCGTTGTCCAAGCTTCAGGGCTGACATGAAAGAAGTGTTAACATCGGATGGAATGAAACCAGTAATGCTGCATCATTCACCGCTATTTAATTTCGTGTCGAATCATTCTGGAATTGAGATAGATAATCCATCGGAAATAACTCTTTTATACGCAGTTCTCGAAACAAAAGTAAGACATTCATGACCCGTTCCTCCTTATGCCATTCTATTATCTGTAATTAAAAGAAGTATCTTATCTTCCGCTCAGTTACCACAGAATTTATTTTCAAAAACTCTTCCGACAGTGGAAGTTTGATTAAGTAAATCCGAGCTTCGCGAGAATTATTGAAATGTTTTATGAATATCAAATTTCTGGATCAAAATTAATCTATATCTTCGTGTGATCGTAACGAAACTAGATTACTTTATAACTTACAACAGATTCGTTAACGCGTTAAGCGCGATGTCAGTAATTAGTGACTGACGCTTCCGAACGAGCAGAAAACAATCGCAACAAACAAGATAACCGATGCGGAATGCAATGTTTAATAACGTAACTAAGTTGATAATAGTGTAACGCAAACATTGTAACGGAGAATAATTAATAATTCCTTTTTCGTCAAAAGAGAAACGCAAGATTTTCGCGGCGCTTGACGTGTTAACACGTTCACGGAAATATTTTAACACATTGCTGACCGGTCACGAGTTAACTCGTATCACCACTTGCATCAGCCGTTTCAATTTTCAAAACATAGGACAATGATTGTCACTGCCAAATAAACACTCATCAAAACACCTACGTGGTGAAAATAATTTTCTTAATAAAGTAGAAACTAAAAAGTCAAGATTCTTTATAACGACTGCTCTGTTGTCCCTCTTATATCTCATACACGCAACAAAATTCGGTTTCGAAACGTCACCGAGAAAATTAATGTTTGAGTTTATGTAAAAAATTATGTCACCCGAATTCAGGTGACGTGGCGGTCAAAGTGTTAACGTTCTTCTAACGACTGAATATAATCACAGGCTAGTCTCAACGAATCTCTCCCGTACTGGGCCGAGGATATTTTCCCCGATGGCGGAATGTACAACGTAACTTTGCTGCAATACGATCTTCTCTCGCAAACTCCGCTTCAAAGGCAACTGAACGGAGGGACGTTGATAAAAGAGATGTTGACGAACACGATAGAACACATCGATGGCAGAATATCCGAGGAACGAAAGCTTATGATGTACAGCGGCAACGACAGGAACATAGCCGGCCTCTTGAAGAGTCTCGATTTATGGTCGCCTCATATTCCCAACGAGGCTGCTGCTGTGATCTTCGAAACTTATTTCGACAATGAGACTGAACACTATGGGATAAAGGTATATACTATTTGGTCTTTAGCACAATTTACATTTTTTGATATAGAATGAAGATCATAGCCAATTCGACAGTATACAAATATAGTTTCTTTTGTTTAGAAGTATATAATTTACATTTTATTCGGTTTCACCGCAATTTTTACAAATAGGTTTGTCGATTGTACATTTCCCACGTACTTTTTACATTGTAGACAGATTTTGTTAGTCTTATTGTTTGTGCAATATCTTACGGCATGGTTTCCGGTCGCGTGAACCTGTACTTGTATTTGTGACGGGTGTTGCTTGATTTTCTTTGCCTAACTCTAGTTCTTTTTAATATTCAATGGCAAGTTCTTCTGCCAATTGAAATAAAGATTCCTGCCTCGAAATTTCTTCTCCCGTGGATTCTTTATATAAAATCCATGCGTTTTTATCGTACTGTTACGATATGAAGTTTATTTATTTGTAGATACTGTGGTATGAACATTAATTTTTTATTAAAAATTTTGGCGCCTTTCCTGGCAATTACTCTTCCCAGGTTGGAAACCGTGACTCTAAAATATACTGAGTGCTCTAGCCAACTGTCTTCTTTGCTTTTTACGCTACGAACAAGCTTTATAGCGCAGTTTATACGGTTTCGGAGATAGTATATCTTGAGACAAACAATTTTTGTATTGGGTCAGTTTTTACGAGTGTCTTTCTAGGCCATCGGCATTTTTTATCTGGGAAACGTGCATATTTTCCATTCTGTCTCGTAATAGGTGAAAATTATATTTGAATACGCTTACACGATAGCTGTTTTATCACATTTTGGATTCCAAGGTCATATGAAGATTATCGTTAATTATTTGCTTGAGATCATTTCTTTAATTTCAGGTTTTTCAATGAATTTTACACAAATTTCAAATATTACTGTTTCAGATTAATTACTATACAGGAGTGGAAGGTGACACTATTCCTCTGACGGTACCAAATTGCACCGAAATTTGTCCTTTGGATACGTTCTTAGATATGTTTTTCGACTTGATCCCAGCAAACGCAGTGTCGTTGTGTCACCGAAAGAAAATTCAAACCGTTAATCTGGAAATCGAATGGAAAACGGATATTTACAATCGATCTGAATCTCATAAACCGCATAACGTGATATTTATATTCTTGTTTGTACTTGTTCTCTTTACATACTAGTTGATCTGTATATTTCGCGTAAGCAAGGTACACGTTACATATAATTTCACTGTGACAACATGTAATAATAGAAACAAATTAACAATGTTTACGTGTTTAAGTACTTTCGCTATAAGTTGGGAAGCTTATAACGAATAAAGACTGCAGGACTCGAAACGAAATGTTTGTTTAAAAAATATATCGTTAGAGTGACGTGTTACATTCAATTATTAACGCTAGATTCACATTTATTGTTCCCAGAAAGATTGATGTTCGTTTAGATTTAGAAGATCAAATGTTAAAATGTATTATTCGGAACCATAATCACAAACATTTATCAAATAATGTTTATAAAATTCAATATGAGTCAAAGTGACTCATCTAAATCTAGTGTTAAACGTTCAAACGTTGCTTATCAGCGCATTAATATATTTAACAATCGACGCGACATTTTCGTGAATGGAACGAAGGTTTCCATTGCAATTGTACTGAAGTCGTTAAGTATCATTTGCCACCGACGTTCTCGTGCTTGAATGCTCTCCTGCAGTATAACGCCCTCAAATTTCAATTGTTTCTTCCATAATTCAACGACGGATAGCGTTGTTTCTTCTTCGAACTGATTGTCAGGTTTATTAGTGAACACCAGCAGATATTTTCCCAAGCAGATGCTTAACGAATAAAATATAATGTGCAATTGATTCGCTGTACCGTGGACATTCGCTTTTCTGCTATTTGTTAATGAGATCAAGATACTTTCGTAACATTTCAGTTTCGCTGTTAGATAATTGATTATTTCGATGCAAACTCCCATAGAAGCGCACAGCTCTAAGATAATGGATATCCGGTGAGTTAATATTGTAACCTGAAACAGATCAATGTTTCGCTGCAATGTTTTTGACGTGGCAGAGTAAGAAACGTTTTATAATTCAATATAAAATGAAATGGAATAAATGTAAAGTAAATATGTACACTTTATTATTTTTAGTTCAGTTCAATCAAAATTAATGTTACTCTGTTGCACAAGGCATCAATGTTTTATCTTCTAAGTAAATGTTTATTTAACAATGAACAGGAGATTTTCTTTTCTTCTCCGAAATGATTAGTAATTAAATAACTCTGATAGATAGAATCACAAAAATAATCGTATAACAAAGGGTTAAAGGAGATGTTCAGAAAAATGGTAATTATTTCCGATACTTCTAAGAATTTTGCTATACATATATATATTTATTTATATATATATTTATTTATTTATGTACACATAAAGCAGAATTCTTCGAAGCTTCGGAAATAATTATATATGTACACACATTACGGTAAACCTTGAGTCACTACTTGAATATCGGGACCCAAACCAGATAATTACACCTGAAGAGGTAAAATTAATTCTAATTATAGACGCAGTCAGGCTCTCGGGTTTCCTGAACGTAGAAAAAGATAACACGAGAGGTAAATAGAGATCCGAGACGTCGGAATCATCAAAAGGTGTATATTGATGAGACAATAATACATAGTATAATTTAAATTTACTAATTTTACCTAAACACTTTTTATACTTTTCAATATTATTCAACAAAAAATATGTGATCATTCTTTGAGTGTAACAACAGTGTACCTAACGAAATCATACTTCAACGATCACCACAATCAATTCACCTTATTCAATTCTACGTTCCGAATGCTCCTATCCAACAGCTGCGTAATCACCAGCACAATTTCATTCGTGCACGCATTACTTTTCTTCTCCATTTCGAAAATCTCGGAGAAATCCAGCACAGCGTTTACCGCCTGCATTTCCAAAGTGTTCTTCCAGCACCTGCTCCTCATGTACTGTACCGCCAGTTTTTCGCTCAGCAGCACCGAGAGAATGACTTTCATCGATTGGAAGGCAACATCATCGGTATTCAAAGCTTCCAGCGTAAACCTCAACCATCTCGAAGAAATTCGTTTCCCTTCGTTCTCCATTTTCCTTCTCTTCCCACGGGTCTCCCCGAACCCTACACCTTCCATTAAATTTACCTGAGACGACTGAATCACCTGAGTCGAATCAACGCGCCCATCGCATCGGCGCAACGACAATTCCAACGAAGACAACGAGGACTTCCGGTTTCCATCGAGAATCCATTCCTCCTCGTCCACGTTCGCAGGGAATTCGAAGGAATCGAGAACGCTGGATTTCCTGCGAGGAGTGAAGCAGTCCCTCGAATTCGAAATGGCGTTCTCATCTTTCATAGAGTGCTGATCGGTGTGATTCGATGAAATGGTAAGTTTGTTGATGCAGAAACGAGAGTCGGATGTCTTCGAGTTCTGTGTCATTCTTCGCATAGTCAGTTTCGACGGCCATTTATCTTCCCCCTGCGAGTTATCAACGCTTTCTCCGTATAGCGAAGATTTTCCGTTAAATATATCTATCGAATCGACTTTGGCAGAATTAACCGAAAGGTCGCTCTTCGACTCTGGAATAATTGTCTGCGAAGAATCGCTGCGATAAGGCAATTCTTGCGATTGGAACGAAGGCAATTCTATCGATTCGACGTTCATGCTGTCTTCGTTTGGTAATTGATTTTCTATTCTGTTTTGGCTCGCCGTACGCGCATCTTCGCTTCTCGAGGAATCTTTGAATATGTCCGAACAAGATGAATACTCGCTTTGCGAGTCCGGAATAATGTGATTCGGAAGTGCGTTCTCCGTGAGGCTTCTAATGAAACTTCGAGTACTTCGAGAGGAAGAATTGGACGGGGTGCTAGTGGTTCTTGGAAAATGTTCGCCATTTTGCTTTGCGTCTCGTCCGAATTGTATTATACTGTGCTTTTTCTTATGTTCGGTGTTATTGGATGACTCAATGTCGATGCGGTCTCGACTATTGTACAAAGTTAAATCACGTTCTTGAATAACATTAAACGATAAGATTGGGTTTGGAGACTTTGTACGCCTTCCGCTTTGGGAACGTATATTTTTATTATCAGCCTCAGCGTCGTCCCCTGTAATTTATTCATTCTAATTATTTATCACGTGTCGATTTCAATTCGACTTCGATGCTCTCTTCTGAATAATTATATTATGCAAGATGATTAGAAAGAAGATATACACATAAAAGTAAAGTAAAATGTGTAATAAAATCCGTTCGATGGGAATTTTAAGAAATCGTTTTTAAATCAATTTTATTCTATCATCGAAGTTGTTTAATTCGATGCATAGGGAGAGTTTAGAATCTTATCTCGAAATCTGGAAAATCAGAAATCTTTAGGAAAGAAGTTATTGCTTCTTTCTACTTTGTATTGCCAGTGTTAAAGATATTTCAAATTAGCAATGGCACAGCCTCACGTCGTTGCACTGTGTTGCAATTTCATCTGTTTTTTGTTATAGTAACACGTAAGAAGGTAATTCCGTAACGTGGATAACCTTCTTAATCGGTTTTCAATGTCTCATAGAAATTCCGGGTTTTTCGTATCACGCTGACGTCAGTGGTAGAAACCTACATATCTTTTCCTCTACAATATACTCTGAACCAGTTCATATAATGAATCAATGCACGCAACGTGCATTCCCATTTTAGTATATTCCCACAATTAACATCTTATCGTGTACTAACGCAATCTTTTTTTAAATTCAATTTCTCGAGAATTTATACAAGACTAATAAACCAACAATATAATCAACTATATAACAAATATAACAAATGTGATATCTATAAATTTTAATGTAAAATTGTATTTCTAAAAATACTATTCACTCGTTTGCTTTCTAATGAATTACAGTTACTTATCAATTCAAATTTTTTGTACTCTAAAAAGCTTTTCCTCTGATTCATATGATATTTGAGTATGTCATAGAAATTAAAATTTTTAACAATTCTTTCCTTTTCATATTAGTGATTAAACTTGGTTTCAGAGATGTTAATAGGTGGAAATATTCTTTTTCATTAATATTTTCCATTCATCTTTATATGTAGGAATATCTTCTTTGGTCACATCATGAATTATCTATATTTAATGATCCTACTTTATCCCTAATTTTTAAATCATTCTGTTTAACCCAATTCGCTACCAGCATTTCTTTCAATAAGACTTCTACATACAATATAGTCTTTTACAAAGTACAAATAATATTCAAAACAAGAAATGTCAGCCATTTCCTGCACATTATGCCGTGCGTTACAATATTACATGAACACACATGTTAATTTACTCTTCTTTGCACAAGATATGAAATATCGATCGACGCTGGTAGCGAACGTGTTAGAGAAATGTGAAACGTTGGTAGGTTATGTTACTTTTGTGCAAAGCAGTGTTCCACTGTTTGTGGAATACCAAACGAAACTGTTCATGCGAGATATCTTTCATAATTCTCGTTAACGATTTCAACCAAACTATAGCTTGTATGAACATCAAATCAGCCTCGTATCGTTCCGTCAAATTCGACGCCTTTTCACTATCTTCGAGAATGTTTCGTGGTATATTTTGAAAATGTTTGCACCGATAACACTTCGCATTACGCAGTTCGTTGAATTTTTTCAAACTCTTTCCATTCATTTCTATTAGGATATCCTCCACAAAGGACAAACTCGATTCTTGTTTCCCGCCCATTTCATTGCAGGTATCTATAAAAGTTTATAACAAAAAGTGAGCGATTTGTTAAATATCATTTTTACCTTTTCATTGAATAATAAGATTTGTAATTATGACCGGTTATTATAAGCACTTGCATATAGAACATGAAAATTATAGTAATATAAGAAAAAATAAAATTTCAAATTTGTGTTTTGTGAAAAGAAAATTGAATGTTTCTTCCATGACACTTTTCTTTTAAGTATTTTGCTTTTTTAAATGATATAGAGCCAGTCATTTAACAGTACTACTTAAATTTCATTCTAATCTACTTATTGCATTAAAAAAATGTTTCAAACAAAAGATACTCTTAGTATTCATAAATGGAAGAAAGACAGTTAATTCTTTTACTGTCAAAAAATCTAGTTATCAGTTATTATTGCACAACCTAAATCGATAATTTGATTACACGAATTTTTCTTGCATATTTCCTGTAATTCGGAGAGGATCTGATTTCGATTTTCAATGTGACCTTCTATTTGTTCAAACTCCAAATCTGTATCCATCTGGAATATAATAACAACATATTAAATTATGCTTTTGATTTATAATTCCTGGAAAGGGTTATTTATAACAATAAGTCATTTCAGATTTTTTTTTAAAAGTATCTGTCGTCGATCGACGTAGAATTTTGAAGGGTTGTTGAAAACACGAGAACACTATAAAATTTTAGCTTCGAGTATAAATTAGTTTCCAAGATAACAATAAAAAACTTCTGGTAAAATACATTGAATTCTGTCAGTACAGTGGCTAATACAAAAATTCCAGCTCTGTAGTCATTGCTAATGAACTAATATATATTTAATTATCTTGTAGTGGATTCTCCCAGAAACCATGGAATAATAAAACATTTAATGAAGTAACAAATTCTAAAATTGAATTACAGCTCCACCTAGTAGCAAAATTTATGTACTAATAAACCCTGAATATTCAGAGCACAAAAATTCGAACAGAGCACAATTTTTGCGATTAATAATAAAAATACGTAAAATTAATCTCATGTTGTTTGTTAAAATTTAAAATATTGAATCTGTGTTATAAAAAATATTATTATCATATTTGATAGATTTCTAAAATCCAAACGTATCACCACCGACGAGGAACAGTGTGAGAAGGATCTAGACGAATGTGTGTTTCATGCTTAAATGCTAGAAAATTCAAATTCCGTCTGTCGTTGTACCCCAAACTTTTTACTCGTGTGCTACTGTCAAATTTCACAATGACGGAGAATAAAAACGATAAAACCAAAGTTGATTTAGGACTGTTGGAGGAGGACGATGAATTTGAAGAATTTCCCGCTGAAGGTAGACAAATTTAAGTTCATAAATATTTCTTGTAAAGTACAAATAAGAAAACTTAACCTCAATTTATTGAATGACTTGATAGATTGGACAGCGGTAGACGAAGATAATGAAGATATTAGTGTTTGGGAAGACAATTGGGATGACGATGATGTAGAAGATGATTTTAATCAACAATTGAGGTAATTTTGTAAAAAACGAATATTTACATTAAACAAATGCGTTAAATATAAATGTATTTCTGGTGTATATAAAATTATGAATTTAAGTATAAAATTTTGAAAAATCGGCAAATTTTTAAACTAAATTAATAGATCTAGTTAAATGTGTATTATAATGTAAAAAATTATACTGTTACGAAGACATGTGTTGTATAAAAGTGATTACTTTTGTCAACCTTTAACAGTTGACTACAAAGGTAATAGCCACTATACGTGGTCCTCCAGCTGTTAAGGGTTAAAGGTAAATTAACTTAGAAACAAAATACAATGAAGCTTTATTACGACTTAATTGATTCAACATATAATTAACTTCAGTAACAGTACAATGCATAGTTATATTATTACATCAACTTTGTTTTTAATATATTATACTTAAGGAATTATATTTTATAAAATGCAATTATTTATTTCAGAGCTCAATTAGAGAAACAAAAGGCTCAAAATGAACAAGGGAAGGAGAATTAAATAATTTATAAATTAAATCTTATTAATCATAAGAATAAATGTGTATTAGACTGTTAAGGTTTTGCGTACATTTAAATTTCATGTATATTGATAACCTTTATCAATTGTGAAATATAGTAATTTTTCATAAATATTTGTACAAAACTTAAACATTAAATGTGAATGTACAGTTTAAATGCATATAATACATAATATGTACATTACATATTATTGAACTCTTAAGAGTCATGTTAATGGAATAAATACTTGGCATCCTTATTTTAAATGTATAATCAGGTACATAGTCTGCTTTTGAAATCTTGATAGTACTAACTTGTCAACAAATTTACTATGTATGGCACATCAATTCCTTATCCACTAAAATATACTTCAATGCTTAATAATTTTGTATACCACTGATTCATTTGAACGATGTATATCTTTTTATGTATTGAACTGCTTGTTTTTGTTTTAATGAATTAAAAAATGTATTAAATCATTAAGAAATTACACTACTATGAGTCGACCTACATGAAATTAGTAGTTGCGATGCTAAAACGTCTAATATTTGTAGGTTTAAATCAACATTGATCTTTTTTATTTCATAAGAATCAAGTAGATACTTCAAAATGTTCGTGATGTCATCTTCACCGAATAACAATCGAACATTATTCGAAATTTTAGTTAGTACTTCTTGTAAAAGTCTCTCCTTTAAATGTGCTACTGGTTCGTCAGAAATATTGTTTTGTACATTACAAAATGTTTTCTTACTCAAATAATCAAAGATTTGAAGAACTGTAGTCTGCAAAATTATAACAATTTACGGATTTCGCATAAATGTATTATTATTAATAAGTATTATGAATAATTACCTGTAATACGGATTCAGTGACATTCCCGAAAAGTAACTTCATCCACCTAACAACTGATTCTTGTAATAATGTGTTATTACTTCCAATGCCACTTAACAATTCACAAATAATATCTACAGCGATACATGTTAATCGTAGATGAGAATCCAATTCATCTGATTCTTCTATCAGAGAAAATAACAGTCAAATTTAAAAATTTATGTCGAATGTTTCCAGTATCTCTAAGCGATACATGTATAATTTACCTTCATAAGAATCTTTTACTGTTTCTAACCAGTGCATTATTAATGCAGTATCATTGCTACCCTCCATAGAATCTACGGCTTCGTAAGCTGTATCTACAGAGTAATAATCAGTCCTGTCAGCAACTAACGTTTGAAGTTCATTTCCCAGACTTTTCTAAAAGAATTGAAGAAATAAATTTGCCTCTTAATGAGATATAAAGAATGACAAATTTTAAATATATTAGAAATACTTCTACTAAGATGAATATCTTAATACCGATTTAATGTCCTCTACAAATCTCCATGGTATATCAGCTAGAGGCATTAGTGTAGGTAATGGAATAGTTTCTTCCTCTTGTTCAACTTCAAACCCTGGAACAACTGTTTTTAAAGTGTTGAAAACTCCGCTTACAGTTTTGGCCAGAAATCTATCGAGTCGAGGTGCTACGACATCCGCTTTTTTGCCAGCGCTACTGTTTGGACGCAAAAAATGTCGCAGTTGCGGTGGACATTCGCTAGCTAACCGTGTAGTTAAAGTTATTATATAATTTTCTAACTCGATACGTCCACCCTCTGGTAATACCAAATTTTGCATAATGGGTGCTAATTCTGGAATCTATAAAACATACGAGAATTAAATAAAATAAAATATTGAGAAGTACTAAATTGTGTAGTTTTCAATCTACCTCTTGTAAACTAGCATGTAACTGAGCGAAATCACGGTACTGTCTCCGAACGGTTGCTGTTGTAGTTTCAAACAAATCAACTCCGCGTTGCTCCACATCGTCAAATTGAATACAATAAAGTAACTGTTGTGAACCATCGGGTTCTGTACGAAATTCTGTCCAAGGAATCATTAAATTTGTAAACTGACTACCTTCGTATACTGCATATGACTTTTCTTCCATGTGTCTGAAAGCATGGAAATACAGATAAATATCTACAATATTGTTTAGATGTTAAATGCATTTATAACTTACAAAGGAGTAGTAACAGTTGATTTTTGTTGCAGTACAGTTCTAAGTCTAGCAATCGTTGATGCAAAATCTGTAGTTTCTTCATATACCGGGGATATTTTATCCTCATCTAATAATTCAGCATCTACTTCCGACATACTCTGACCCCAAAGACCCCTGTGTTCTATAGGTAAATTATCTAATCGTAAGGTAGGCCTTTTTTCATTTATAGTCGTCGTTTTACTTTTGTTTTCAACCGAAGTATTTGTCAAGGTATCCGAATTTGATTTCGGTAGTGGTCGTGGAATTATAGCAGCTGTTGAAGATGTCATACCATCGCACAAAGCATCAGATATAAATTTCTAAAATGATCACTTCATTAATACAGAACAAGTAATTAACTAGAAATTAATTAATAATTAACTATCTTATATACTGTACTTTTGTGCGTAATGGTTCTTCTTGTTCATTTTTCTTTTTACTCTGAATTTTAGCATCTTCTTTCAACGTAGGTTCTAACAACTCTAATAAACTTTGAAAAAGCCAGCTTGGAGAACTGACTGTTTCTATAAATAATAATAATCTCTTTGCTAAAATAGATAATAATAGTTTACATGGCAATGAACTTGTTAGTTCCCATTGTAAAAATTCTTGTGCTAAGATAGTGATTATTCGATGAAGCATGTGCTCCAAAGCTGATGCATTACGAGAACCAGGATGTAAATATTTGAATGCATCTTCCATAGTTTTTGATGTCTGTTTTTCTACTCGCCGTAATGCTCTACAATAAATTCAACTGCTTGTAATAAATAATTTATTTTATGGCTACATAAGTAAAACATTATACCTGTGGTATTCTTTAAAGTGTAATAAGACCACATTAGCTAGCCGATGAGTAAGCTGCACTTTGTCCATTGAATTGATTTGATGGAACAGCTTGGTCAATAATTTTTTAAGTAATATTTGTGCTTCCTTAGGAAATGATTTATCATTGCTGATAGATTTATACCATACTTCTATACATTTCGAGTTTATTTCTTTCACCATATCATTTACACCGATCAGCTTTTTTCTCCTCAAAATGGTCTTTTCATTAGACATTTTTCTATCTACTTTCCTTTTCGATTGAACATTTTCTGTCATATCAGTAGATGCTCCTACTGATTTCTGATCCCCAGGATCACGTAATTTCAAACTGATTAATAACTTTTTATATAACCAGTCATTAAGGAATGTCACATTAAGCGGGCTCTTCGCTTTTAACGCAAGTTGAAAGATAAAACAGCTAAGCCATACTGAAATTATTGTAACGAAGATAACCCATAATATAGAAACATAGATTGGTAGTGGTGTGAGACCAGCCCATTCTTGTATAATTAAAGATAACGTTGCGCTTAATACACTTAAAATCAATATCTGGTTCAACCAGCTCATTGGTATAACTTTCACCATTGTAAACATAATATGATATAATAATAACTTTAACATTGTACATACAACCAGCGTACCGTAAACCTGTAAGAAACATATTTTCATTATTCCTAATTCAGAACAAAATAATTTGAAGTTTTACAAATTTTTCGTAAAGAATTTCGTGTTACAAACGTTTCACATGATATTCAACAAATAATATTACAATAATATACAAACTAAAGTCGCAAAGATTATTCTTTTCCGTATTTGGCAAGAACAAATTGCGATTGTACATCTTTAAAATACATTACAACTCGTCGCTTTTCCCGACAAGGTAACATTTATTTTCTATTGCTCCACTTAAATTACAAAACATACCGCGTGCTCTTAAAAAGGTTTGTTATAATTGACATCTCGATTCCGAATTTAACCTCGGTGTTTCCCATTTTTGTTCGCGTTTAATCGGCGAATTCTTGTCTCATAAATTTTAGTTGATTCATGCACCATGACACTTATAATTCACTAACTTAGAGTACTTTCATTCGTCTGCACGTGAGTCTGCACGACCATGTTACATATTTAAATCATTTACTGCAGGCAACACACGATCGGTCCCTTCGCGAGCGTGGCTATTGTCACTGTTGCTACAGCCATTCTTATTATCATTGTTCCAATGCAACATGCATTGTTGCAACGACGTAATAATTTATTTTGTAGAACAAATGACAGCGTACAACATACGTGTACTGTTTCGAATGACACTTAAATAAGTACAGTGCTCACAGTGCAAATGATGTCTACATTACGTACTATGTATTAGACACGAGGTTACACGAATAATTCTCTTTCCACTTTTTGTTGATAAAGCAGCCCGCTAACATATGTTCCGTTGTGACATGCGTATGTATGTAATACATGTGAAACGATTGAGCATGAGTTATACATGTAGATACATATTTAGGTCATACGTACCTTTTAGTTTAATGCTTGGAGAAAAACTGAATCATCTTGAATCAGATAACAATATTTTTATACAAGCATTTATTGATTCATATTTTCAAATAGATAACAATATAAAATCTAATCTGCAGTCTTTTTTTGCACATTATGATTATTCTAAAGTATAATGCTCGTATCAGTGATATATAAAATGAATTTTTTATACATACTTGAAACTTATTTTATAATATATGGCCATTTCTCGATTATATATATTAATTTTATTATTATCAAATTTTTTAATTCTTTATTATAATCAAAAAGTTCCTATTTGTATGCTATTATTGATAAGCTTCTCTCGAATGCTGATCGATTTTTTCTACATGCTTATAGTTACTGCTTTCAATTTTTAAATTGATAAAAATTTTGACTATAAGTTCTTTCTATAATTTTTATAACTAACAGGATCGTACTTCATTCGATAACCATGTGAATTATTATAGATTTACGAGTGTACCTTAATTTGCCTTTTTCTAATTAATTTTTTCGTTAATACATTATATATATCATTTCAATTCTGTTTATAAAGTTACAAATATTATGCAAATTTCCGACAACTCTTATCATTTACCGTAAAAACTAACAATTTATTTCATCGACATTAATAACATACCTCCAATTTCCAAAATGGAATTAACTTCCTTCCATTCGTATTTATCTTCTCCCTTACAATTTCTCATAATCGTTCTAAATAAATGATATTAACCTAATCACCTTCAATGTTTTCGGTTTTAAATCAACTGCTAACAAAGGGCAGTCAACTTCTGGCACAAATTACTAAATCCTCAAAACTGTCTATAAAATTCAAATAATACAACTACTTCAGAAAAACTTCGCTTCATTGCATAATACAAGAAGTTCAAACGATACTCATATATAGAATCTCTCAATTCAACGAAAGAACAAGCGTTTACTATTCACGCAATTGATCTCAACCGGTCAACTATTTCACCTTACCCTAAAAAGCAAATAATTTAACCCGTTCCATAATTTTTCGCGCGACGCGAGGGTACCAAAATGGCGGAGCGTCGAGAGCACGCGAATCGTAACTTTCGCATAATTACAATTACACGAATCGGTCCCCCGCCTCGAAGCTGTCAGCACGTGTCCGCTCCGCGGGGAGAGGCGGCTCGCGATAGAGTTGGTTTAAACTGGCGCACATGAACCCCATGCAGGTGCACAGACGCGTGCACACACGCCTCGGTTGGTGCAGCCTCTAAATTTAGTCGTCGAAGCGTCAGAATAAACATAAGTTACTCGGGGGCCTTGTAAGGCTAGAAGATACTCCCGGGGACTCCCGGCACGCGCTCCCCAACAGCCATGGCATCCACGTATTTGACTACCGGCATCTCTATTTTTGCTATTTCTTCATTTGTACCGCAGTTTTGCCGCTCGTCTTGGGTTACCGCCGCCTCGCCTTCGGGGAAACGGCCGTCTAAAATCGACCGTCCCTCAGCGGACCGCGTCGAACATCCCACGTCGACGAACAAACGAATCTGTCTCGCGTCGAGGCATTCGAACGCTCGACAACTGGAAACGATCGCGATCGTTTCCGAGAAACAACGAGACGAAAGATATGGATATCGTAGATTGCAGGAGAAATAAGATTTACTTTGCCAATGACAAATTAACCTTGGACATTCGTTGAATCGAATGGTCTCACTCTCGCCGGGGAGTTCCTTTGCGATCTCTAGGGAAACGATTGAAATTTTCTGTCGAAACTGTAGAATCGAATAGGTGCTGTATGATATTCTTAGGTCGGAGTAGCAACATGGTATATATTTTCATAATGAAGTTTCTATCGAAATCCTCTCGGCTGCTCTCGAATAGATTTTACGTAAGAGGATTTTGTAAGTTTCTCTGTGCGTTCCTTTTTTTTTTCTTATACCGACGTGTAAGAGGTATTCTTTACCCTACCCTTTTGAAAACGAACAAAAATACAGTCACTTAAAGTTACACGTAGATTGGCCGGTTGCCAGAGTACACTGCATCCAGAGTAAAATGTCATGAGAAACCAAAACACAATATTTCTCTCGAAGTTCGCCGAGTATGAAATCGCAATTTGTTCACGACCGTTATGTCATCGTGTTGAACGCGGGCCAAAGATATCGACCGCGATAAGGTTCACATAATCCGACATCGACTTATTATATAATACAGTTTTATTATCATTAATCATATGGTATAATAAGAAGAACAATACGCCAG